ATAGAGTTAACAGGTGTTCATTTAAATTCTACACATGAACTTCTGCACTTAACTAAACGGGGGTAATTTTCATTCAATTTATTATTGTACTGCAAAGTCAAAAAGTGCCTCTTGAAATTTATAAAAGTTTTGAAGGTTCTCATCTGGCCGCAATCATAAAATCAGTCATAATATCTGGAAAGTAGAAGACATTTGTATGATAGTTTCTAATGGAAGCAAAAGATTTCATTGAATTATATTATTGGCTGGGTTTTATAAAATTGTAATCTAAATAATCCTAAAGATATCAGGTTGTCTACTACTGGTCTATTTAAAACTGGCAACAATGCAAATTGTGTCTCAGAATATTATTTAAGGTCATAAACAGACTATGTTTTAATGCAGGAAAAAGCGGCTATCCTAAATACATTTACTACAGAGCATATACCTTGGCCAACGGATCTCAGTGGAAGGTGAAACAATAAAGAAAATTGAACGGTGTGTTAAATGTGATTGGCAGGCATTCGGTAAGCTATGCATAATTTTCAAGAACCTGAGGAGAAAAGTTTTCAATCAGTGTGTACTACCTGCTCTAACATATGCCAGTGAAACATGGACAGTAACCTCACAATCAATACAAAAGCTAGGAGTGATGCAAAGAGCCATGGAAACATACAGACTCGGCATTATAGGACAAGGTAGAAAGATCTGCACATGGATTAGAGAACAAACAAAAGTATACGATATCATCAAGAGAGTAAAAGAATAGAAATGGAAATGGGCTGATCACACAGCAAGAGGAACTGATGGCAGGTGGACCAAGGCAGTCATAGAATGGATCCCATTTGATAAAAAGCATCTCCACAAAAGAGACCTAAAACAAGATGGAGCGATGACATCAGCAAGTATTGCGGGCCCAATTAGCAAAAGAAAGCTCAGGATCGTATTGATTGGAAACATGCGGAAGAGGCCTTCATCCTACAATGGATAGACAATAGCTAAAATGATGATGAGTGATGAGACTGTATTGAAGAGAGATGGTCTTCTTCCGAATCACAAATGTATTGGGTCCTTGCTAACTCTTGGCATGTAGAAGACAGAATATTCTATCTAGATTAATATTGCATATTGTGGATAATCCATGCAATTCACTCTTCTATGCCAGCAGCTGAATAGAAAGAAGAATAAAGCATCACACATTTAAAACATACTGCATTCGTTTTCTTCATAACAAAAATGACAAACTAAATAAAAATCCGTAAGAAGCAAAATGTATTTTGAAGTTGTTATAATTACTGAGGTGAGTATATGTTTAAATAAAACTTAAAAAGACGCCCAATCATAAAGTATGCTTCAAAAATTTATTAACATGTACATATTTTAAACAAATGGAATGTTACTTAAAAAGTATAGCCTTGATCAGTAAAATAAAAATCATAATTGTATACTTCCAGACTAAGTAGATGTACCTTAAAAAAAAATTCAAGTAATTTTCCCCAATCATATAACTCATTTAAAAAAAATTCAAATATATTTTACATTCAATGTTACTAATTACATTCTTTTATCAACAGAATAATGAAGGAAGATTTCTTGCTTATTGTCATCACCAAATATAACGTTCCTCATTAAATTGTTCATACTCAAAATTTCATTTCCCATTTTGTGGAAATAGTTAATTTGAACTGCTGATTTTCAGTAGGTTCTTTCAACCATCCAAATAACTCCAGGGAGGGTTAAAAAGTTCATACTCTTCACCAGTCTAGTTATTCCTTAATCATCCTCTTCACATTTAAAAGTTGGTTTGGCAATTTAGTTTCTTCAAATGTATACTCTTATATCTTTGTATTATTTTTCAAATTATTATGTGTATTTAAGGCTAGTAGGGAGGTGACATTAGAGTTCTTGTTAAACCAAAATCACATTTCAATCCTACTTTAATGAGTGCCTATATAAGGCATTCACAGTTCCCCCAGTTTCAAGAAAACATTGGAAACTTTTTAGGAGTTTCACAATGAGAAGATAAAAAAGACAGCTTCCCTAAATTTGTCTACTGTTACAAATCCTTGCCTACAATATATATTACCATTTAAGTTCTGGCTATATTACACATTGTGCTACATTGTGATTTGTTTAACCATGTGTTTAAATAAATCATATTTGGCTGGTCTCAAACATTACAATAATTCTTAAGTCATAGTGTGCAAATCACAATGTTTGAATTGACACAGCATGCAAATCCCAAACCAAAGAAATCATGCTTAGTAGAATGTATACCACTTTCAGCTATATCAATGTGTACAGCGAAGTGGCCAATAGTTCACATGAATGAAGGACATATTTCCAAATTTTCTGCAACCCAGTGGCTCATTGGTAAGCAATAAATAAACAAGGTCAACATGAAAAAAGGTTATCTGAAAATCAGATTTGGAAACCACAGATTATATTTTTCCAAAACCATCATTGCAGTTTGTGTAAACAATCTGTTGAAATTGTTGCCAGTGTTTAAGAGTCAGGGTGTCAAAACATGGGAAAGTGTTGAGTCAGGATGCTCTTTATAGATCTTGTAAACAGAACAATCAACAATTGATTGGCACTTTTAGATAAATTAATCTATGAAATCAGTTAAAATATTCTTAATTTCTGCCTTGTTAACACCTCAATATAATTGCATTTAGGATATTAAAGGCAATCCATGGTACTCTCTAACCAAAGAGAGAAGCAACCTAGAACTAAGGAGGAACTTCCTGATAGTTAGAACAATTAACCAGTGGAACAATCTGCCTCCAGAAGCGGTGAATGCACCAACACTGGAAGTTTTTAAGAAGAAACTGGACAGCCATTTGTCCAAAATGGTATAGGGTTTCCTGCCTGAGCAGGGGGTTGGACTAGATGACCTCCAAGGTCCCTTCCAACTTTATCATTATTATTATTATTATTAATAAATAGTTCACAACTAATTAGAACTATTTTAATTTTTTAATCTTTTTTCAAGGACATTCTAGAGTTTCAAAATTAAGCAAATCTAACTAGCTGCACTAATTAATGCCTCATTAAAGTTTCCACTGATCAATATTTTAGTTGATAAAATAATTAAAATTCTATCACCTAGACTTTTTAGATTTAAAATAATCATGCTGAAGCAATGCAAGACCTGATAGCTTAAAAATACCCCTGGGCTGATAACTTGTACAAATAATTATTGCACGGTATTAATGTTATTTCATGGAATAACCTCTGCTGGACATCTTGTTGCGTCAATTTTTCAAATATACAAACCAGCAGCCTAAATAAATACTGTTGTTTTGCATTTGTTCATAGCAACCTTTTCCAACTTTATGGCTCCAAGTGTCCTGGAACAACTTAACACTAGGTTGGGATAGTGATTGAGAATTTAAGAGTGTTGCTCTCCAGATGTGCTAGTATTATATCAGGTTGAAATAGTTTAACTTTCAACATAAAGGCATTAACTAGTCTACATGTAGATTTCAGTCTCCTATGTATTCCCATCATCATGCAGAGAAAAGAAAAGCAGGCTAACTCATGTATACTGTATATCTCAACCAGAGAGAACAATGACTGAGAATAACATAACCAATTTTTGAAATAATGTTGCTGATGCTGCCCTCTTATGGTTTTGCTTCTAACACCTTCCGGACCTTTATACTATACCCTATGGAGATTCCCAATCATCTAGGCAATGGATGTCCCAAAGAGGCTTTTTCCAAAAGGCAACTGGACTTTTTTCCTTTGAAAACGTTTCACTTCTGAAGAGGCTTCTTGGATGAGAAGTGAAGTGTTTTCAAAGGAAAAAACCAAGACAGTCCAATTGCCTTTTGGAAAAAGCACTTTTGGGACTCTCAATGCACTGCTGCAGGCAAAGGAGCTGTTTTCTGGTCCTCACATCCTACCAGGACTATATGTGTGTGCATGTTTGTTTCAATGAATAGATGGGTAGTGTGTGAAGAAGTGATAATGAAAGGAAGAAGGAAATAATAAAAGTAATATCTACCACTTAGAATTTGGCATCAACTCAGCCAGATGTGGCCTCTGGCAACTTTCTCATGAAAGAATGTACCTTTTGATTGCTAAGTGGTTATTACTACAGTTGCCACAATTCACTCAGTGAACTATGGTTTACAGCAGGCCTGATCTTCTAACTTACATGGTTTTACCCTAGACCTGTAAATCTCAAATTCATTTTATTAGTGAATTAATTTAGAACACTGCCTTTTGACTTTTCAGTCTAGTGAGCAGAGCAGTGTATCTAATACAAACTCTTTAACTTTCACATTTCTTTGTAGGATTTGTTCAAAAACCCCAGAATATCTGAGGAAGACTATCCCTATTACATAAGTAGTGGCAGTTAAAATAATAGGGAAAGAAACTGTCTTCCCTTATAAGGCATTGGTTTGGGGACCAGGCTCAATTTGAGAGTTGCACAAAGAAAAAATAAATTATTTCAAACAAATAAAATGAAGGGATGAGATAATTAGGAAAATTCAAATAAATATCTGATTCTCAAAAGTATTTTGTATCCAAAAGTTTGTTTTATTTCTAGTTACATGTCCTTTTTACTTGGCTCTGGCTGATCTCAGTATTTTGCACCTGATTCTTAAAACAGTTGATCTAGTTAAAAAACAAATTAAATCTCAAAATTGCAAAGTTCTCTCATCCCCCCACTACACAGCCAATATTATGTTTTAATTAAAGTTGTCTTAGATGTTCTGAATAAAAGAAAAATCTTTCATATTATGGGGGTGTTTTTTTTTTCGAATTTAGTGCTGAAAAATGAAACAAACCCTTTAGAGAAAAAACAATGAATAGGAAGAGACTCAGGTTCTTGCCACTTGTCCCTCATGACTTCTTTCCTGTAAATAACCCTTCTTGGGTTGTTGTTCGTTTTTTGCACATTGCAAGCAAATGTGGTTTGGGAATTTCATGCTTGCTGAACATCAACTTCTGACCACTATGTAATATTGAACCAGAGAAGGAAAATACAATATTGTTTTCTTTCTGAAGAAAGTAAAGTTTGCTGGCTATAGCATTTAATACATATGTACACTGCAAAAGACATTCTTCATGAATTTAATATTTGGTTTAAAATTTTAACAGTTGTGAATGTACAGCAAATGTATGAAATATTTCTATATGCACATGAATTACGTGCAATATAACAGCAGTAATTAATAACAATAATAGTCAACAGAAATTTGTTTTTAAAATGATCTTACGGGAACAGAATACATAAATATAGTGAAATAATCTGATTACACAATTTATTTTTCTCATTTTAAATTTCATGTTAAGTTTCCATCACCTTTATTAAATACTTTTTCATGTTGTCACAAACTTTATAAGATATTTTAATTGCTTCTAAAAACATCCTCAAATATATTAACAGCTCATAATTTTATTTGATGAGCTTCTTCTCTATCCTCTCAGAGAAAGCCCATTTTACAATTTATGATAAGACACAATTGTGTAGTAAAGTATTATAGATTCAAGAATACAGGCAATATACCCAGAAAATATGTAAGCCTGTTTATATCAACAAGAAGCGCATATGACTGGGTATAGGATTACAGTTAATACATCAATGACATTGATGCAAATTATTATAATCTGCTATGACCAGCCATTGAGATATAGTAATCTCCAATACAAAAGTTAAAAAAAGGCCAGACATTATCCCAATGAAACATTTCATCTTCCCTACCTTTGTGACTACTGAACTTAAGGAAAGTGGCCTGGTAACTGTGATAGTATAAGAAAATAACTACCTGAAACATTAAAAATATAATACCCGTTAAATTAGCTTGACTGGCAGCATTCTGAAAGATGTTATTTGCCATGTCCCTATAAGTTTTTTAAAAAAATATTGCATAGTTGTTAGATTATGCATTTTCAAAAAAATTGCTGCATTAATATTTACAATGTATTTTATTATACAGAAATGAGAAGAGATTATGGATTTCAATAACTCTAATTGGATCAATAATATTAATTCAGAATTAGCCTTGATTGCATTTTGTTCTTTGGGCTGCATTGTGACAAAGCTTTACTTACAAAATTTTCAAAGATTCAAAGAAAGAACATTGCATTATTTTCCATAAAAATGTGAACAGCATATTGGATGAAGAATCTCTGTATCTCATAGTTTGTCTTCTTCTTTACTGTGAGAAAAAAGAATAGGTGATTCCAAATAAAAAATGGCATCTTCCTTGTGAAATGTTCCAGACTGATGTAGAACATACAGCTTCTGTTCAAGGAATTATGTCAAAACATTCTGTATCTGTACACTGCTTTTAAAAAAATGAAAGTAACTTTGGCCTGTAAATATAAAATATCTATGAAGTTTGTGAGAGTGAATTTTTCCAGGATGTGCAGCATTTTCAAAATCCCTGTGATGCCTTTAGATGAGCATTTGGTACACTGAGGATCCAGCTTTGCATCATTTGTCCCATGCTTGTTCCATCTTCTTCTTTCCCACTCCAAAACGAACAAAAGTTCACTTTTAGATTGACTTCTAAAGATGGAACTTCACATCTATTACTTCTGGTAAGCAGTGTAAGAGACTACAAAAGATTAACAAACACACAATTATATTTCTTGAGAGTAAAATACATTTTCTAAATCACAGTAGTATCTATCAGGACATCTGATATTCAGGTATTTAAAAATAATTATAATTAATTTTCTTGAACTTATTCTTTAATATTAATAGTTTTGAGAAATAATTATTTTCACTTCAGCATATGGCTAATATCTTTGAACATGACTTCTTTATTTGTATGTGGTCTATTCCCAAAGGCTCTGGTCTGGACAGACAACAATCAAGATCAGTATACGATAGCTCCACATGTAATATAAAGAAAATAAACAAAATCATGAACCCACCTTTGCTCAAACATCTTCTACTCCTATGTTAAATGAAATAATAGATCTTAACTGCACTTCTGAAACCAGGAAGAAAAGAACAGATCTGGTCTCCATTAAGAAGAAATTCCTAAGCATGAAGGTTAAGATAGAAACCTTCTACTTCTGAATCAATTGTGGCTTTTTGGACTATAAGTACTGGAACCCTTTGGGGATATCTATATGTTTCAAGATTGTATAGAAAGTTCTAGTAATTTGATTGTTACAACTCTGTGAAGTAAATTTGTTTATTTAGTCAAACTTATGGCTGTCTTAATTGGAATCACAACGTTTGACTGAGTAAGAGAAACTGACTGACTGAATATAGCTCTTTATTCAATATCTATCATTTCTATATTTAAGGGTAGATAATTCTACCATAACTAGGCAAAGAACAGGCATTGGTTACAGGTAATCTGCGGTACATTAGTTAGGACTGCCACCATATTTTTTTTAAATATTCTGCTAATACAATATTACAATGCAGCAGCAATACAATACTTCATTAAAATATCAATAGTAGAAAATTCCTTCAAGCTTGCTTGCTTGAAGCGCTGCTTGAGCAGGGTCCGTAAGATTATCTGGGACACTACACATCCTCTTCACGACCTGTTTTCCTTGTTACCTTCTGGGAGGAGGCTTCGTGGTATCCGTAGCAGAACATCCAGATTCAACCAGAGTTTCGTTCCATACAGCATTAACCTTGCGAACTCTCAAGCTTCCTCCTTCCGTTATATATTCAAGATGGACAGTATTTAATATTTATTTGCTACGTATATGTAGGGATGTGGGTCTATGCATATGTTGTTCATAGTATATTTAGGTGTGTGTCATGTGTTTCACTTTGAGAGCGGGCAACTAATTTCATTTTTGGTGTGTGCCATTGTGCCCACAGTATAAAAATGACAATAAAGGTTATCTATCTTATCTATCTTGTTTATTTATTTCTTGCCTTTTTTGTTTTTATAAATTAGTTAAGGTGGTATACATACCTAATATTCCCTTCTCCTGTTTTATCTACAACAACCCTGTGAAATGAGTTGGGCTGAGAGAGTGACTGGCTCAAAGTCACCTTCAGATGGCTTTTGTGCTTAAGGCTCCTGGTTTCTAGCTGGCGCCTTAACCAGTAGACCAAATCAACTCTTTTTTTGTGGCAGTATCAATAGTTTACATCTTTAACTCTATGCTTTTTGTTGCAATTGGATATGAAAGCTATAACAGTAAATGATATCAGTGAAGCCAAAAAAAATTTCCCTTTCTCTTTTGGGGAAAAAGTGCAAAGAAGAGCAACTAAGATGATCAAAGGCCTGGAGACAAAAACAAATGAAGAACAGTTGCAAGAATTGGGTATGGCCAGACTAGAGAAAAGAAAGGAGTGGCAAGATAGCAGTATTCCAGTATTTGAGGGGCTGCCATGAAGAAGAGGGGATCAACTTACTTTCCAAAGTACCAGAAGGCAAGACAAGAAACAATGGATGGAAATTAATGAAGGAGAGAAGCAACCTGGAATTAAGAAGTAACTTCCTATCAGTGAAGATAATTAACCAGCTTGTCTTCAGAAGTTGTGGGTGCTTCATCACCGGACGTTTTTAAGAAAAGACTGGACAGCCACCTGCCTGAAATGGTATATAGGGTCTCCTGCTTGAGCAGAGGGTTGGATTAAAGACCTCCAAGATCCCTTCCAGCCCTATTCTGATTCTAAAGCTTAAACCATGGCAATCAAAACATCCATGTGATACATATGTGGCTTCTTTTATATCCACTTACTATCTAGGACAGGGGTGTCAAACTCAATTTCACAGCATTGCGATTGTCCTTGGGGGGCCGGGTGGGTGTGGCCAGAATGGGTGCAGCCTACTGGGTGGGTGTGGATGGAGTGGGTGTGACCAGCTCTACATCATTCGCGTCAAGGGTGCCTGTGGGGGCCTGAGCAGGAGTGGGACAGATCTGAGGGTCTCTGGCAGAAGGGGGTGGGACCGCGGCAAGTGCCAAGGCATGATTTACCGGGGCAAGTGCCAAGATAGCCACCACAAAATTGTACATTGGCTCCCGGCTGGCCTGGGCCAGGGCCAAGGTAGCGGGGGCCGTTCCCTCACTGTTTCCAGGATGGCTTCGCGGGCCACATGAAACCACTTCGCAGGCCACATCCGGCCCCCAGGCCTTGTGTTTGACATGTCTGATCTAGGAGATACACAATATAATTAAAGAGTCTACAGTTAAAAGAGATGCTTGTATTGTACCTGAATTTCTGATACAATACCTGATAATATGTATTGTACCTGAATTCAAACTTTTTTTACATAAATATTATACCAGAAACAGCAGCAGGCATTCAAAATTGGAATTTCTCATTTCAAATATACTGCTTTCTTCCTTCAAAGTGTAAGTTTTTGGATTTAAAAAAAAAGAGAAATTTGCTTACAATATGATAGTGATCCCAACAAGAAAAATTCATTAAATCATGGCAAAGATCTTAGGGATTACAAATTAGTTCTGAATAGGCTAATTGACATTGCTCAGATAGCATCCCTACTTCAAAATATTCTTTAAAAAGGAACTGGCATATGGAATTCATGACAATAAAATAAGTACATCCTATTGTTATATACACTTTGTGTACCATTACAAACAGAACAATATACAGGTAGGCCTCAGCTTAACAACAGTTAGTGACTGTTCGAAGTTGCAACAGCACTGAAAAAAGTGACTTATGACCATTTTTCACACTTACAACCATTGCAGCATTCCCATAGGCAGATGAACAAAATATAGATGCTTGCGAACTGATTCATATTTATAACAGTTGCAGTGTTCCAAAATCATGTATTCACCTTTTGCAACATTCTGACAAGCAGAGTCAATGGGGAAGCCAGATTCACTTAACAACCATGTTACTAACTTAACAACTGGAGTGATTCACTTAACAACTGTGACAAAAGGTTATAAAATGGGCAAAACTCACTTAACAAATGTTTCACTTAGCAACAGAAATTTTGGGCTCAGTTGTGGTAGTAAATTGAGGACTACCTGTAAATCAAAAGAGAGCTAATAGTAATTCAATTATTAGTCGACATTACATTAAAAAGAGTAAGAAACTAATAACTCTTACCTTTAAAAGCAGAAAACTTGGCGATTAATCTGAAGGATGCTCAGGACAAGATCTATTTACTTCAAACCATTCATCTATGCATCTAAGGAGCAACAAAAGGGAGAAAAATTCAGGCTTAAATATGAGAACAAATTATTTATAATATATTTTAAATTTTGTTAAAATTGACAATTAAAAGTGCCAATTATAAGGCATTGATTTTCAAATAAATATTTTTGCTACTGTTAGGTATCATTAGGAAAACTATATACTGTAAATAAATGGCTTTTCAAAAGTTAATTTGTTTTAAAGAAATAAATAAAACAATATGTTGTATCTCACGCATTCATAAATAGCTATGTTTCACTGAACAAGCTTTGTGGGCCTTAACGCCTAATCAAATTGAAGTAGTCCTTGATTTACAACCACAACTGAGAATGGAAATTTGTTCCTAAGTCACTGTAATAAAGTTGAGTCATCATGTGACTAAACAATATTATGAATAGTTTTATGATGATCTTTAAGCAAATCATCTGGTTATTTACATATTTATTTATATCCCATCTTCATTATTTTTAAAATAATTCAAGGCGGCAAACATATCCAATACACCTTCCTCCTCCTATTTTCAAGTGGTCGTAAATCTGAATCCAGCTTATCCAATGAATAGCAGTATTTTTCAAATTAAATGATAAAAAGTCACAAAAAGTAATCATGTGACTACACGGTCACTACAACTGCAAGCCCTTTGCCAACCACCAAAATATTAACACATGATTATGGGAATGGTATGGCAATCAGAAATTTGAGGACCTTTTTTTTGACTCTGTCATAACTAATCTTAAAGTTGAGAACTAAGTGCAAAGGAGGGCAAGTTGAGCCCTGCCATTCATCCACCACCCCAAATCCACTTTCGCCTGGTGAAGTGATCGCATCAATGTTCTGTTCACTGTGGTCCTTGGCCTAAGCAATATTTCACCCATTGAAATGTTGCCCATCCTTCAGATATATGTGTTGTATATGCAGCAACCAATATTTTAAAGCTACTAATGCAATGTAATGAGAAAGCAAGTGTCTTCTCCCTTAAGACCTGTATTAAGTACTTTTAAAAGTCTGTGCGAGAGCGAGAAGGATAGGGAGACAGAGACGGAGGGAGAGCGGGAGAGAATAGACACCAAATCCCTGGATAAATACTCTAAATTGTTTTAAATATATATGGTCTCCAAGAGAACACAGAAAACAGGACAATTTTTTTAAAATAAATGTGTCAATATTTACATAGGTAAACCTTTACAGTTTTATCTTATAGTATCTTACTGCATTATATTATCAGGTATCAAAAATGACATAATTATGTTTGAACTGAAACATTAAATATACCAATGCAACATGTTCATAATTGAAGGATTTAATTTTGACAATTCATTTAATGCAGACATAGTTAGAAAAAAAAATAATATACAGCCACAAACCAACAGAACATTTAAACTTCCCTCTACTCTTATCTGTCTGAAGAATTTGGAGTTGCTCCATAAAGCATGAAGGAGGGATAATATGGAAGCAGGAAAGATATGGTAGATATGATGGATTCTGCCTACATGCCTCTAAATATAGTCCAAAAGTTAGTTCTTGAATTATGTTTTGTATGCACTCACCCTTTATGATATATACATAAACAAGGCAATCGTGCTATTGTATCCCCTTGCTGCAGTTCCTCCAAGCATATTGCACATTCTCCAGCATCTTTACTCAGGACATCCTCTATGGAAACAGTTAAATTAACATAGACACAGTAGTTATATTTTTTTAATGATACTTTGTTTTTAAAAAATGAAATGCTTCATGTTTAAAACCTAATCATGTTATTCAAAAAGTTATATTGCAATTTGGTTTACAATAAACATAATGCTTCACATGCTTATGGCTGTTAAAAGAATAACAGAGACATCTGCAAGATGATTTTATGAATGGAACACTCTTGATAAGTTAATCCACCATATCTTCTTCCAGGACATTTCATTCTATTTCAGCAGCAAAAAACTGTATTCCATTGTCATGATTAAGTTCAATTTCATGGAGATATTGCCCCTATTAAGGGTTTCCTCTCATTTTTTTGTGGGAATGATTAGTTTGACTACACATGTTCCACAAAAAGAAATAATAATAATAATAACAACAACAACAATAAAAAGTTGGAAGGGACCTTGGAGATCATCGAGTCCAACCCCCTGCTCAGGCAGGAAACCCTATACCATTTCAGACAAATGGCTGTCCAGTCTCTTCTTAAAAACTTCCAGTGTTGGAGCATTCATTACTTCTGGAGGCAGGTTGTTCCACTGATTAATTGTTCTAACTGTCAGGAAATTTCTCCTTAATTCTAGGTTGCTTCTCTCCTTGATTAGTTTCCATCCGTTGCTTCTTGTCCTGCCTTCAGGCGCCTTGGAGAATAGCTTGACTCCCTTTTCTTTGTGGCAGCCCCTGAGATATTGGAACACTGCTATCATGTCACCCCTAGTCCTTCTTTTCATTAACCTAGATATATCAATATAGCATAACAATTTTTGCTTTTGTCCTGTCTGGAAATAAGAACAATTATTTACTGTAATCTGCTAATTTGGACTAATAAATATCACTCCAACTTGTTGGTTCCTTGGTGAATTAATTCTGTCACAAAATACTTTAATATGTTTACTGTATTGTAATCACCAGCTAATGAAATTATCAAAACATGTGAAGAAAAGAAGTGAAAAAGCTATGTCCAACAGTAGTAAACACAATGTGAGAAATCCAGATCACCTATAAATCTTCAGTTGACAAAACACTGTAAACATTTACATCTCATTACATATTATTCTAATTTACTTCTTTATAAAGATACATTCACACTTTACTATGCCTGCTTTACTGAAATATGGAAAGACCATATGGAACATATGCACATTAACCTATTTCTCCCACTCTCTTTTATATATAACAAATGTTGAATCTAATACATAGAAGACATAAATGAAACTACAATTTATGCAGTTATCTAGATAGTCCTCAACCTTCAACCATTTGTTCAAAATTATGACAGTGCTGAATGAAGGGACAAGTTGACCTGTATTTGAAGTTATTGCAGCCTCTGGATGAAATTTTGGGCACCAGGCAATCTACTTCCTCTTATGACCAACTGCAGGGATGCTGGATCTGCCTCCACCCACCTACACTATCATTTCCCCCTGTTCTGTGCCCTGCCAGGTACCAGAGAATTTGACTCTCCTCCCTGCTCTGTCATATCTTTCCCAATGACCTCTTCCAAAGATCATCTTTTCTATAAAGATCAGCTCATGTTTTCCTGGAAACAAGGGACATCTGGAAGTAGGCACCATTCTCACAATCTCTCAGGAGGGCATGATTTTTCAAATCATAAATTTGGAAAATTAGGCCCTTCAGAGATTGAAAAATAGCACTCATTTCCAGAATGGTCTAAGAAGGCCTCTGTAGGAAGTCTACGCATTGTATTGGCTGGGGACTTCTTCAATAAGGTGATCTTTGCAAGAGGTAAGTGGTGCAAGCAGTGATGAGATGGGGAGGAAACCTATCTGGCAGGGCAGGAAGTAGGCCCATGCCCTATAGGATTCAGTGGGAAATAGGTAAGAGTGCCTCAGGGGGTGGGGGAGACTCTGGAAGCCAGGCATATGCCACACACATAAACCGAGGGAATGCTTCAGTGCAAGCCTGGGCTTGAAATAGAGTGCAGACCTGGGCCTACAATCCACTCTCTTAACAACCTCTATGGCAGCTTAACAACCTCAAGGATTGCGGTTGTTGAATGAAGCAATTATGTGGGCATCTTACTTAACAACCACAACTTACAACTATAATTCTGAGCTCTATTGTGATCATAAACTGAGGACTACCTGTAAACTCTATTCAGCAGACAGACTGATCCAGTTTCATTGATTCAGAAATGGTTTGCTATATAGTAAATTTTATTACTGTATAAATCTATTTAAAATCATCATGTGAAATTCACATTAATGTTCGTAAAGAACATGCTATGCAATAACATTAGTACAAATTCCCTTACAATACTGCTAACTTCCAGATATTTTGATTTCTGGAAATTCTGAGTCAAGGAACAGAAAAATATAAGTAAATACTAGTTAGTGAATTTTGTATTAGGTGACCTCAATAGTACAAGTACTCTTTAACTACAAGAGTACAAGTACTCTTTATCTTGTATAACAAAAGAATATATTAAGAAATATTAACAAAGTATTTGTTATGTGTCATGCAAAAACAAACATAGCTACTGATAAACGAAGGTTAGATTTGTATTCTGAATAATTTGATACATATTTATTACTTAACAATCATTTGTCAGATTGACTACCAGTCAGAATTTCAATCACAACCCTGTCTACTCTTCTTCATATAATTATAAAAAAAAGCCTAGGAAAAACAAGCACAGAAAAAAAATGATGCAAAAATATCAAAGCAAACTGAAGTTATTATAGCAGCCATAAGGCCACTACCTATTCTCAAGGAGGAAAAGAAAATAGTAGCATTTGTTAACTACCACAGCTATCCAAGCTCTTAACTTTTGACCTGGTCCTGCTTAGCTCAACTTCAAATGTCAGCTGCTTGTTGTGATACAACTTAAGATGTGTTACTTATTAGCCAAGTAGTTAAATTCTGTTTACCATTACATTGAGACATTCTGAAAGTGTATTAGGAGTTTCTGGTGATCATTTTATCAAGCCTTGAAATGTCTGTTTCATCCACCTCGTGCAAAATAAGTCCAAGGTTTTCTGCTGAAATGTCTATAATGTTAAATTTATATCAAGACAGCATAAAAAGCAAGTAGAAAAGCCAATCGAAACAAAATCTGTCTCCAAAAAAACATTTAATGAAAGCATTCAAACCAGATCTCCCCCCCCCATCTAGAATATCAAGAATGAACTGACTTATTTCAACAACACAGAAAAAATCTGAATGGAAAATGCTTTACAACTATAAACAGGTAGTTCTCTACTTAAAATGGCAATAGGGACTGTGATGCAGTCTTAAAGCACAATCACACTGTTTAGCAATGGCAATCCCTGTAGTTTCAGTGGCTGCCAATAATTGAATCCCATGGTTGCTAGGCAAGGCAACTTCCTGTCAACTTCCCTTAACCAAGTCAGTATGGAAGGTAGCAGGAAGTTGTACTCCCAGGTCTGCAAGCAGGTACGGATGGGGTAGGCAGCAACAGGGTGGAAGAGGATATGGGGGAGGGTTGGGAAAGTGTATGAGAGGTGCTCCAAGAAACAGATGCCAAGAGGTGTCATGCAGGTTGCAGAGAATGCACAACAGATATTGCATGAGGAAGGTGTGTGGGTGTATGTGAGTGGTGCGGGGAAGACAAACAAGGGTGATAAAAGGTGTCATGTAATGTGGGGAGGATTCATGTGTACAATTAAGTGCAAGACATGCCGTGCATGTCAGGGAGGATGTGCGACAGGATATTTGAGGTACTGTGTAGATTGAGAGTGCACAAGGATAAATGCAAGAAGTGCCACATGGGTTGGGAAGGGTGCAAGAGTGGCCAGACAAGGATGAGCACAAAGGAGTTGAGGAAGGGTACAGGGATGGGAGAAATTTATCCCAATGACTTTTGATCTTCCCTCCTAGCTTCCCCTTTGACTTTCTGGGGAAGCCAGCATGGAAGGTTGCAAATGGTGATCATGTGATTGTGGGGGTTTTAGTAACTAGTCATAAATGTGAATGGATTGCCAAGCACCCAGATCATGATCATGTAACTATAGGGGTGTTGGGCATGGGGCTGTGGTGGCCCATGTGGGTAGGACACTGAGTCAGAAAACCATTGAGAGGTCGACAGCTCGGCAGTTGTAAACTCGAGAGCGCAAGCCACATGACTAAATGAGTTTCCATCAATTTGCCCAGCTCTTTCCAACCTAGCAGTTCGAAAGCATGTAAATGCAAGTGCATAAATAGGTACCACTTCAATGGAAAAATACCAGGGACATGAAAGGAGCCCCCTCAGGCATCCACTCGGCAACGATGATGTCACTGGCTAATCCTTTCAACTGCCTTGGTAGGTGCTTCTAACACAAATGTAGTAGTAATAGTGGGATTTCTAGAACTCTGAGAACTGCACTTCTTTCAATAAAAACTGAACTAACTTTAAAAATCCCCTAAATATAAGTTTTGGAGTACTTTTCATTTCATATCATTTGCATGTTTTTGCCTAGATTAGAACAAGCAACAAAGCCTCTTTCTATTTTGATCATTAAAGAAGCTAGTGTATATATTCAGTAAGTATTTTTGCTCCAAATAACAATTATCTTGAACAAATGTAATTTTATAATGACCAGCCTCATCTTTAAAATTTTATAAACACAAAGCACAACACTCACACTGTCACAAAAAGACTTATTTACATGTTTGTACTCACAGAGAGACAGAGATATATACAATTTGATTTTAACTACCTGTTTTAATGATGGGGCATGCATTAAAATATTTGCATGTTCATAAAAGCAATATTTTCCATTTTTTCAAAATAAATACAGTAACATACATCCTATTCTCAAATTTTGCCACATGAAATAGTAGACCTTCAAAGGGGAAAATTCAGGTTCCACCTTTCAATCAAATGCTGCTTGCTTATGATCACTGACTTTAATATGGATTATAAACATAAATACATATACTATGTAATTATATGTGGTGGATCCAGAGAGAAGAAAGATTTGATCCCATTTCTGCATATTTGTTATAATATAGTTTGCACATATAATTTAACCTAGAAACCCAAAACCTAATGAAATAAATAAATAAATAAATAATTCAACTGATCCACTATCCAGAGGCTCCTAATATTATATCAGTTTTGTAATTTGCCAAATATGAAAAAAATCTATTTTACAATGGAAGGATTGTTTTTATATGGAAAAAACTATTAAAGAAGTTGAACTAATGAATTTGTTCCTTCAAGAGGAGCTAACAGCATCATTTATTTTTATCAGAAGAAAGAAGTCAATTAAAATTACTATTGACACTAACCACAGATCAGTATTGGTCCATTAAAATTTTTCAAATATTTCTACCTATCTTTTAAAAGATTTTGTGTATTTATCAAACGCTAAAACTGATTTCTCATGTTCAGTTTTAGGCAACATTCTAGACCCAGATTAAATAAGGAATTACTTTCAATATATTGTGGAAGACTAGCAGTGATCTCAATAGAGATTATGTAGATAGAAGCAATATAAATTTGTAGTGCAAGATGTTTGTATTTAGAATTAAGTAGAGGGAATCTTATGTCATCGATGCTTCTTTAAAAATTGATAAGAGTCAATATTGCTATAGGACTTATGATTACAATATTGTTCTGGTAAGCTTGGAACAGCTCATTTTCAACTAGGACAGAAACAATGTTGAAATGGTTGGTGACATCTCAGTTTTGCAAATCAGAATTATGACCATGATTTTAAACCATTCTAATCTGGTTTCTATCCTATTTTTCACACTTTTGATTTTCTTGAATCCAATCAATCAAGACTGCAAAAAATGACGAGTATCCTTTAAAATTCTGAATCAAAACATTTTCTACTGTTTTAAATAAACTGAATTTTGTTTAATAGAATTGTATTATTACTTATGCCTTATGCTGCATGTTATATAAAGTTCTTTATCATTTCCTTCCTTCCTTCTTTCCTTCCTTCCCTCCCTCCCCCCCTGTATTAGTTTGTGTTAGATTTTATGTCCTCTAAAAAACTAAAGATTTTTTATGCTAGCAGTGTAAAAAATTTGAGGGTTCACAAACCCATATAATATAGTCATGATCATTTGATAACTTTTTGGAATTAAGGTATTTAAGTAGATTTCTGGGAAATATTTAAATGTTTTAAATGTTAAATGTGATATTGAATTATACATCAAAGCTTGTTTAACAGAAATTATGGTTATATTGAACAAGGGGGTGGTTAAAAAAATTATACTGCAAAATGTGAGAAATTATTATTCCAGATGTTAAAAAATGTTTGTCAGTGATCTGTTTTAGAGGAGACAATATTTTCCACCAATCAAAAAGAAGTAGCACAATGTGTTCCTATAACAGACATTTTGTGATATTTTGCAATAATATTTTGTAATAATATCAATTATATTATAGTAGTATTTATTAGTAGATTGGTGATTGTTGTTAAGTATAATAAATATGCTACTATAATAGAATAAAAGATTTCCCTTTTTATTTGGTTTTTCCTATTTTTAAAAAAAATAAAAATAGTTTTATTATTTGTGCATCCTAAGAATTACTTTGTTGTAATTTTTGCTGCTGTACTTATAAACCAATTCTATTTACCATATTGACCAGTGATACAAATACAAATAATATGTATTTTAGTTTTTGAATGTTTTAATATAATAATAGTTTCTTGTGATGCACGTTTATATGCTTTGGAAAAAGTGGGCAATAAAGCTACTCTAGCTTTTTTCCATTTTATTAAAAAATATTTAGCCTAAAATTAATGTTATTGTACCTAAAAAAAGTAGACAAAGTTCTATTGAAATTCTATTTAAACAGTCCAAGAAGCATTTAATACATAAATTATTCAATCCCAAAACACTGTGAAGGAAGATTAATAGTTTCAAATTTTACAACAGAAGAATCATGGACTCCCTCAACTTCTGCCTCCTACCTACTTTCAGTTTGATGGATGAATATGCCAACAAATCTAACTTAAAATTGAAGTTTATCAATTTAAAACTCCTGGAAACTAATCAAGGAGAGAAGCAACCTAGAACTAAGGAGAAACTTCCTGACAGAACAATTAACCAGTGGAACAACCTGCCTCCAGAAGCGGTGAATGCTCCAACACCGGAAATTTTTAAGAAGAGATTGGACAGCCATTTGTCTGAAATGGTATAGGGTTTCCTGCCTGAGCAGGGGATTGGACTAGATGACCTCCAAGGTCCCTTCCAACTTGTTGTTGTTGTTGTTGTTGTTATTAGTTTAAAACAAATTATATCAATTGGAAATAATCAATTTAGCAGTGTGTTTGTGTGTGTGTGTTTCTGCTACAATATTTTGAGTACTCTGATAAAAGGTAGATGTAAAGAAATACATATCAAATTGTGTATACAATAACCAAGAACTTAATATTGCAATCAACGTAATATAAAACCTTGAACCACATCAATTTTTATCTCATACCCCATGAAATTGATTATTCTGCACATTTGAATTAAAGATTAAAAATTAAAGATGCATTACTTAATAGAATATTTTACAACTTTCACTTTTGATTCTTCAACTGATTGCAAGAATAGCCAAGACATAAACATCAAAGTGAAAAAAATCACTGACTTCAAATTCTTTAATGCTATTAACAAACTAGATAAGCCATTGGCTTATATTCACAGTATCAAATACTGTTATGTTCTAATCATTTCTTAGTCACTTCAGTAAGTAATTTTCAAAGACTAATCATGATTCTTGAAAATAAAAACATAATCTAGAAGCATTAAAGAGAAAATTAGCTGAAATAAACAAAATGTCAGATAATTGAACATAAAGCTTAGATGTGTTCTGTGTTAATGTTAATTATTGGAACCAGATATTTACATTCAGAATCTAATCTGAAATACATTAAAATTGCAAAGTTTATATTAATTTAATTATTAGACTCAATAATGAACTTTTATTTCTTACCGTTGTAAGTTATCCTTGGTTTTGTCAAACACATCACAAGATGTAAATCCATTTCTTCTGAAGAAACAAACTTGGAACAAACTGGGCATTTGAATCCTGAAAAGAAAGAAAATACATAAATAATCCCATTTTGCTTTATTAACTATATCTCTTTCTTTGTATTTTTATGCTATACATTTATCTAAGATAGATTATACTGTTTACATATGGAATTGAGTGCTTATACCATTGGCAAGTACAAATTGAACTACAAGTACAAAAAGAAAAACTTAACATCCATAGGAATTCAATTCTAATTATCTTAGTTATTATTGGGAAAAAATAAGTATGCTTAGAAAAACATGTTGGCTTTTTTTTGCTTGTCAAAAAAGTTTTTGCTTGCAAGTAAGTTTCATTTATCAATCAATTTTGTCTGCTTATTTTGACTGTCTCACATATTTTCCTGCCAAATGGGTTAAGGATACTGATTGCTGCTTGAAAGTTATTTCTGAGAAGGAGCGTTGGCTTACCTGAACGCCTCTTCTCAGCATGATGATGGAGAATTCACCAATGGGTTGACTCTGTCTTCCTGCCCAATCAGACTAAGTCAGTCAAAGTTGCCACACCTGTCCTGGTCTGGGACCACCCAGTCTCGACGACGGCGGAGCCATTGACGACAGTCGGACGTGTTGACTCCCAAGAGAAGGAAAAGAACCACCCCCTGACACGGGACCTAACTGACCTCTAGAGGAGTGGGTGCGGATTCTCCATCATCATGCTGAGAAGAGGCGTTCAGGTAAGCCAACGCTCCTTCTCCAGCATGATGGATGGAGAATCCACCAATGGGACATGCCGAAGCCCCACTGTCCCTATGGGAGAGAGTCAGTTGGGGCCTCTGTCCCGGGTCTTGCCACTACCTGTTGCAGCACTCTCCGACCAAAGGAGGCGTCTGCAGAGGTGAATTTGTCTAGCTGGTAATGCCGCACAAAGGGAGAAGGCGAGGACCATGTTGCCGCCCTACAAATGTCCTCTATAGATGCTTGCGTTGCCCATGCAGCAGAGGTGGCAGCGCTGCGAGTGGAATGCGCCGTCACATGACTTGGAACTGACAGGGAGAGCGACAAGTACGCCCTTGCTATGCAAGCTCTGATCCACCTGCCTGAACCTTCTGCCCCATAGAAGAAGGTTGGAATGAGACAAAGATGGCTTCTGACCTACGAAAGGCCACCGTCCAGAGTGTGCCATTGCCGTTCCAGGTCATGTAACGGGTGAGGGTAAAAGCCTGGGAGAATGACCTCCTGTGCTCTGTGAAACACAGTGTTGATCTTTGGGATAAAGGAGGGATCCAACCTGAGAATCACCCTGTCTTCGCGAAAGACGCATAGGTCCTCTCTAATAGAGCCGCTAGCTCTGAGATGCGTCTAGCTGAGGTGATAGCTATCAAGAAGGTGATCTTGAGCGACAAGGACCGCAGAGTACAGGTTCGAATGGGTTCGAATGGCGACTTAGTCAGGGCCTGTAGGACCCACGACAACTCCCAGGAGGGATATCTGTGAACCACGGGCAGCCTGCTGTTAGTGACTCCCTTAAGGAAGAAGCGGACCATGGGGTGTTGAGACAATGACCCCGATTTGTCCCAGGAGAGCACCGTGGATAGAGCAGCCACCTGTCTGTGGATAGTATATATTGTGTATATATATATATATTGGGCGCTAAGCCCCTGTTGATGCCTTCTAATAAATAGTCCAGGACCTTAGGGATGCATCCGGCCATGTGCAACCTTGGTGAATTAGCGGGTGGCTGGTTGAAGAGGGACGGTTGCCATCTCCAGGGCATGGCCTGTGTGCCCACAGAGAGGGGTCTGAGTGCCGCCTCTGGCACGCGTGCCATAGGTTCGCCTCCACTGCCCTACACCATTTCGGACAAATGGCTGTCCAGTCTCTTCTTAAAAACTTCCAGTGTTGGAGCATTCACCGCTTCTGGAGGCAGGTTGTTCCATTGGTTAATTGTTCTAATTGTCAGGAAGTTTCTCCTTAGTTCTAAGTTGCTTCTCTCCTTGATCAGTTTCCATCCGTTGCTTCTTGTCCTGCCTTCAGGCGCCTTGAAGAATAGCTTGACTCCCTCTTCTTTGTGGCAGTCCCTGAGATATTGGAACACTGCTATCATGTCCCCCCTCGTCCTTCTCTTCGTTAAACTAGACATACCCAATTCCAGCAACCATTCCTTATATGTTTTAGCTTCCAGTCCCCTAATCATCTTTGTTGCTCTTCTCTGTACTCTTTCTAGAGTCTCAGCATCTTTTTTACTTCATGGTGACCAAAACTGGATGCAGTATTCCAAGTGTGGCCTTACCAAGGCTTTGTAAAGTGGTATTAATACTTCACGTGATCTTGATTCTATCCCTCTGTTAATGCAGCCCAGCACTGTGTTGGCTTTTTTGGCAGCTGCAGCACACTGCTGGCTCATATTTAAGTGATTGTCCACTAGGACTCTGAGATCCCTCTCGCAGTTATTACTATTGAGCAAGGTACCCCCTA